TAACGATAAAAATAATTCATGATCAACATATCGATGTGAAAGCATTATTTTGAATTGGTTAAAATAAAAAAAAAAATAACATCAGTTAAGTAACAGAAAATAAAATTCGCTGATTTAGAAGCTTTCAGATTTCCAAGGCCGTTTACCTTTGACTTGAGTTTACTAAAAAAATCTCTAATGTCGGTTGGTTCCCTTCTCCTAAATTACGTACTATTAGAACCTGATTTAGTATGTCATGGACCATGGGCGTATGAGCGAAAAAAGTTCTAAAGTTATCAACGGTGCCAATGGAAGATTTCATAATAGTTTTCTTTGTACAAGTTAGAACTCATTTTTTACGGTTTACTCTTACATTACAAATATTGGAAAAAAACAAGCGATGTTAATCTCTGTTGACCTAACGAGTGGACGTAAATACTCTCTCTCTTAAAGTCGCTCAATAATGAAGCTTCCAAAGCCTAAGGAAGGAGTTTGTTGAAAAAGCTCTTATTCTTGCATGAAACAATCCTCTTCCATCTTGGTCTAACGACGGTTAACACCATAACGCCTGTTAACCATGACGTGGAAAAGTGACAGGGCTTTCTAGTTGTTAATCATAGACTTTCCCCTTTGAGGGTTCAAAATGACTCAGCATTGTTGTAATTATAGTTTTGCCACATGACCCTTCATTAGCTTATACTTAATTAGTCAATGAAGAGATTTGTTAAATGTTGCAACAAAAATGGGAAAGATCAACGGATTGATATACTGTTTTTTTTTTTTAGGAAATTTCTTTATTGAGATATATTACAATCTGTCTGTTTTTAAAACAGATTAATAATACTATGCTTAAATTAATACACATTAGGTATATAAACAGAGAATGTACACTAGAACCTTCGGAGGCAGAAAGTTTGTGGTTTTTTTTTTTCATACTCTGACGATTTTGAAAGACGAATAAATAGTTAAAGGAAAGGTGTCTAGGATACTAAGATCAATTTTAAATAATAGCATTTACTAAGTGATAACACACAATAGTCAAAATACTAGTCATAATCTTTATTTATAGCACAGCCATTGGAATCAGGTTTCCAGTATTGCGAAAAATATTCCTTAAAAGGTTGTCAATATGCGACTTCATCGGATATAGAGACATTGGCAGGAATCGTCATGGAATTGATTTGATTATGTAATAATATCTGGGGTAAGGTTGCCGATTTCTTCATATGTGAAACATATCTTCAGTCTTTAAAATCCTTGAAAATAAATCATTCAATTCAATCACTCGTTCAGCCCAAATAAATACAATATTACAGAAAGTATTTCAGATCAGGGATGAGAATATATGAAGGCCAGAGATTTTGTATCTGTAATTTTTTTTTGTACTATTTTACCTCAAAACTACTGAAATCCGCCTCCTTTTTTTGTTCGCTAGGTCTAACCTTAAATTTTATTTGTTATTTATTTATCTGTATGATATTTACAACTGTATACACAAAATACATCTAGTAAATTCGCACATGGATATAATGACATGAAATACATGTTGAGAAACTACCCATTGGTAGCACTCTAATAATATGTCTATATTAGGAGATCACGTGGCCATCTTCTTTTCAGACGCCTCGGAGGGTTATCAGGAATTGAATAGGAAGCAAGGTTTAGAAACAAGAGGGTTGGGATGGTTATGAAGAGTATTATGGAAGGACAAATATCTGGATTGGGCCAAATCTGATACATAACGAACATTAAGGTCATTATGGATGATTTTATTTGTAACAAAGTAAGGAGCATTGAGGATTCTACGAGGGATTTCGGATTGTAAGGATTGGATACGAGAGGAATTTGAAGGTTTGGTGGAGTCCCATAGCTCAACTCCGTAAGTCCAAATATGCCTTATTATAGTCATGTAAATGAGTCTTTAATAATTTATTGGAAGGTTAGAGCGTTTGTCTAGTAAGTTCTGAAGTAATCGGAAACGTCGAGCTGTTTCTTGTCGTTTCAGTCTGGTATGAGGATACCAAGTTAGACGTTTGTCCAGATGGAGTCCTAGGTAAACCTTAAATTAAAAAAAAAAGTTTAAAGTTACTAGTATACGTTGTTCATTATATTCCAATCTTTTTTTTCTTCTCTACTTCAACACATCATTTTACTGCTGATTTATTTTTCCTGTTGTCTTTATAGTTCTTGTAGAATTCTGTTCGCCTGAACCAGGTTTTCTATCTTGGGCACTTCCCAGTTTTCTGCACGCAGATGTGCAGTATCTTTTGATTAGATAGATTTAACCCATTTAGTTATTGGTCTCAAATGTGTCTCTTACCATTTATTGAGCCATAAGTTCTGTGCAGAATCTTCCTGATGGATTGCTTCAAGCTAAAATTCCCGCCCTCCTCATGCCCGTCTTTACACCCTCGCCTTTATATCATGAGATATTGATTGACTACTTTCTGCAGGCAGTTATTTATTGGTCCTTTTCCTTCAGGCGTTAGACATTCATAACTGAACGTTCCAGTTATTTTTGATTTTCCGCTCAAATCTTTCAATCCTTGCTGAGTTAAATACAAAGAATTCTTGGGTAATAGTTGGTAGCCAGTTATCGCTATTGTATAACAGAATTGGTTTTATTATATCTTTTAACATCCATAATTTGAGATTTCTAGATATTTTTCTGAATTATAATAACAAGAGAGAAGAAAAATTCGCACTTTTTGTGGTTGGTTCATTTCTTCCCGTTGGTCATTTATAAAGGTTATTCAGCAGCTGAAGCATTTTAATCTATCCTCAGGAACGAATTTCCTTCAATGCAGAGAGAATTCCTGTTTAGAGGGTTGGATTTTTCGGATGATTATATTATATTTTATTTTGTTTTCGTTAATATGTAGCCCTATATGCTATACATTAATTTTTTTAAATATCTGTCGGCCACTAAGTACCAAGGGAATATCATTGGTTAGGCTTCTTTGGGAGTCTTATAAATATTTTAAAATATAAATATGAGTATTTTACTCAGATTCTCTTATCAGAGTCTTGGGGTGTCAATCAATCTCAATTACTTGCTCCCACGGACAGCTATATAATTTGCATAATCAAGGATTTTATGATTCATTCACGTGATCTTGTTATTATCACTATAACTAGAAATTAGAATGCTAAGTAAACAGCATTTTAATTTATATCAAATTAAATCAAATGATTTAAATATTTTACTGATTATAATTGTTGTTTGTTAATGAATATTACAAATCAAGGATAACTAGCTGTAACAATAAATCTTCACATTCGTAAAAAAAAATAGTAAGGTGATAAATAAATAAAAAAAGATAAATAATTTTAAAAATAAAGATATCTATAAGCAGAATGTATGAATTTTTTTTTAGTAATAAGTCAAATAAAATATAGATTTTATAATAAAATAAAAAAACTAAACCACATCTATATATGTTTTAACTTGGATTAGTAACAATCGAAACCGTTTCACCCACCTGTAAAGGGATAAAGCAAGGCTCTAGGAGGTCCCAGCGTTTTTCTCCTTCGGTCACAGAGTTTTAAATTTCAACTCGCCTAGGTCACCAAATCCTAAATTTATTTCGTGACGCACCCACGGAATGAATCTGGACATTCCCCCTCCCCCACCGTATGCCAGAAATGACGAGGTAGGAGATAGTCGAGAAAAAGTTTTTAAAGCCAGCAGAGTTTAAGTGAAAGCTAATATAGCAAATGGATGATAAAATTTATATTAATTATAAGATTAATATATATTTAAAAGATTAATATTATTAGACGCTGGTATTCTGATGTAACAGAATATTTCTAGGAATGTTTGTTTGACTTCCGAGTGAAAAAACTTAAAGTCAGATATTTAGATATTTAAAATAATTTTTTTAACTAAAGATACAAAATATATTGTTCAGTAAATTAAATAGAATACAATTTTTACCAAGGGAAAAACATTTTTTTTTTAAATTACTTGTAGGTTTTTTAAATTATAACTATGATATTTTTTGATGATTACATTTTTAAAGTACTTGTTTTTTTGTTAAATTTTGCAACATTCCAGTTAATGCTTTAGTGGCAGTCATATACCTTGTAATGAAGCTGGAATATTAACAGTAAACAAATAAAAAAGTAGAAAACATAATTAAACATGTACAATTTTTGTGTTTTTCAATAATAACCAAAAATTAAATCTTCACTCAAATATATAGAGCTTAATAACATAATATAGTCGGCACCATGTTAAAAGTAACGAATATGTAACGTTACAGAGACTCACACTAGTTACTTCAACATGGTGCCCACGATATGATAAATAATTTAATAAATAAATATACGAATTACAAATAGCTCTTAATAAGAAACAACAATACGAAATAATTATTACAATAAAAATCATTTTAAAAAATAATGAATTAAATTACTTTTTAAACAGAAGCGTCAGATAATGGACTTCATCAAAATACAAGTTACATTTAATACCTAATATATATATATATATATATATATATTACTTCTGTAGCTAACAATGTATTCACTTGTGGGTTTTTTTTCTGTTTTTTTTTTTGTTTAGCTTATTTATTGAAAAATATTAAAATCTGTCATATCAAGGACATTTATAATAGTGTTCACAGATCACATTCACACTCTATGTACAATAAACAGAAAAATAATATAAATACAATAAATAAGAAGAAAATAACCTAAAAATAAATGAATAAAAAGAACACATACATACCTATTGTAGTTATTAAAAGAAATAAAAGACAACTGAAATAGATAAAACGTCATTTCAAAACGTCTCTTTTGTAGATTCTAACAGGATATCTGTGCTACAAAATAAACCTTTTGAATATTTACAAAAACGAATAAAAAAAAAAAGAAAATATCTATTTTTACGCGCACGTCAACAGACTATTGTTGCCACCTTTGTTGTGTTAAGATAAAACTGGAGAAAGTGATGAATGGTTGACACCCTTAGAGCATGTTCCATTCATATACTCAGTCTGCCTCGTCTTATGTTTCAGCCATGTTCGCCGTCGCGAGGGGAACTACCATTCCTGGCAACCACATGAAGAAAGCGTGAGTATATGGCTTATATACTTGTATACCTATATCTAGTTAATAGAAAGTTAATCATAATTTTAAAATAATTAATTAATATACATACTGATAAATTTACAAGAATTATTAATAAATGGCATCTGAATGTATTTCGTAACGATGAATAAAGTAGTAAATAGAGAGTATGAATTTAGTAAAAGCAAATACATTACTATTTTATTAAACAATCTGGAGTAGTGAATCACACAACTTTCACTTTCTACCACATTTTCAATAGAAATTATTATTATTTTTTTTTTTTTTAGAAAATAGAACTTTATTCTGGGACTAAGTCCCTTGGAATAACAAAGATGAATTAATACAAAATAAAATACCAATCTGGCCAAAAACTAACTTAAAAAAATTCTAACGTAATATACATTATTTAAAAAGTAGTATGTAACCACTAAGAAATAAACAAAAAAAAAATATACACATATATAAACACACGCACATATATATACATGCACACACATAAACATATATATACATACATACACATACATACATACATAAATGAACATACAGTCTTCTCCAAATTTACTTATTATTACGATAAAAAAAAAAAGAAAAAAAAAAGACAGAAAAGTAATTACATATCTATATATACATAACTGCACAATTTATAAATAATAGCTATCTAATAGAAATATAATTTAATACAAAATATAATAATATTTACAGTGATTCATAAAATAATAAGCAAACACTAAGATAAAATAAAATCTCAGGAATAATTGTGGTATAAAAAAAAAAAGGAACTATATATACGTACTTACTCATATTGCTACACAGTGAGACAAAAATTATAAAATTATTGAATTATTATTTATTAAATGAATAAACCTTAAGAATCTATCTTTATAAAATGTAATAAGATTGTTTTTCGCCGTAACGATCCCTTTTCCGGCTCTAAAGAGCGATTTATTTTGATGAATGAAGTATCAAACGAAAGGGTATTAAATGGCGCATTGTCGAGTCATAGTAACAACTACCCGAAATTCCAGGAAAAGAAGTTGAATGAAAAGAAACTTTATTTGTGATTAACTTAAAAAAGTATACATTTTTTTCATTAACCCGTGGTTATTTGAAAAATCATTAAATTCCCTAAAAAGCAAAAAAAATTGCAAAAATCAGAGCATTATTAATAAATATATAGTCTATTAGATTTGGTATACATATAATTTCTTCCTCTTGGAATTCTAATAACGATTTTTTTTGTTTTCCTCTATCTGATATATACTTCATTATTTCTTAAAGACATTTTTTGTTAATACAATTTTTATTTTTTTATAATTAAGAAATCTCCTGATCGAGGCATTTTTAATATGAAAGGTAATATTGAACATTTATAAATAGGCCCTAGAAAAGTAATATTTATAAATATTTTGATCTATTGAATTAAATACAATATAGTATTCGACTAAGAAAAACATAGTTAATTCCTTTCTCACATAATACATAAGATCTACTTATTTCTATATTATTTTTCTGTTCTTTTACTAAACAACCACCTAGCTAAACTTCAGGCCCACACAATAGATGAAATGAGTCTCAACAGAGCTACGGCGCTCATCTCTTTGGACTGCAGTCAGGCCTTTGACTGCGTGTCACACACGCATCTACTTCGCCGTCTGGAAGAGTTCAGGTTTCCTACCACTCTATGCCGACTGATCCGAAGCTACCTCAGCGGAAGATCTCTCGTCGTACGAGTTGGTACAGACTACTCAAACCCAGTCGATACCACCTGCGGAGTACCTCAAGGGTCTGTGTTGGGGCCAATACTGTTCGTCGTTTTCACGGCGCCAGTGGTGGCACTCAAGCATCCAAAGGCGGTGGTAGCAGCCTATGCGGACGACATTGGCATATATGCTTCCAGCATCAACGCGGAGACTGCACTCACTCTGGCACAGAATGCTTCAGCCACAATTGTTGAAGAGCTAGAAGAGATCGGTATCAGAGTGAATCCTGCGAAGACTGATGCTATTGTCATGTCGTTTCAGAAGGGAAAGAAGCATCTACCCACACAATTCACCGTTGGAGGAGTTTATCATAAAATTTCTACCTCGATTGTCTACCTCGGCGTCACGCTAGATAGACATTTGACCTTCTCCAATCACGTTAGGCAGAGGATCAAGCTGGCACGAAAGAAGTCGCACCGGCTCTACCACCTACTGACGTCGCCGCAGCTCTCGCTGAGACTCAAGCTCCAAATTTATAAAGCTGTTATAAGACCAACACTGCTCCACGGGGCCCCTCTCCTGCGATACCTATATAAATCCACGCTTACGAGTCTACAGGGCTTCCAGAACTCTATCCTTCGGCGAATTGTCCGTGGCACCACCCTACAAAGGGCTAAGAATCAAACAATACGCGAGGAGCTCCAGCTCCCCTCGGTACCTGAGTTCATAGGCCGGAGGCACATCAAATTTTTTGATGGGCTGAAGGCCTGTGCAAACCCACTGTTCAATGAGATCTCACCACCACCCAGACCTGGGAGGTGGCAAGGTAAACTCCCTTTGGTGGACATACTCGCCGAAGGATGTGGTCTGGTCTCTGCGGTCCAAACTCATTAATTTGTATATATTGTAAATAATAAAACATTAGCAGAACGGTCCTTCCCCGTTCAATGTCAAAGTCACAAGGCCTTCTGCCACATATGTAACCTTTAGCTATCCCCAATCCTTAAAATGCCCTCGGGCAGTGGAAGGAATTTATTACATGTTTATATTGTATTATTGTATACTATATATGTAATTGTTTCAATAAACTTTTTGGAGGGTAAGAAAAAAAAAAAAAAAAAAAAAAAAAAAATTTACTAAACAATATATTTTGCTAATTATTCGGGCCAACTAGTACTACTTTAATTATAAATAAAACTTAAGATAGTCAATAAAAATTGTGAGGATTCTGTGCACTACATATTTCTAGTTTATCAAGCTAAAAAAAAATTAATAAAATATACGGCTTATGTCTTATTCAGACACGCTCATAATAAATAAATTTCCAGTCATGTATTCAAAAATTCAATTTAGCTTCCCTGGAGCTATTCATATGTATATATACACTTCTAAGCTACAAATTTAATCACAACTTTATATTTTTAAAGGGAACAGTGACTGTTAGTTATCACGACCAGGATCAGATTCATAGACTTGATTTACGCAATAGGATTAAAAAAGAGGCCGACTATAAAACAGATAATAAATTTTTAAATAACAATGAAAATATTTATTGATTTACATAATTATTAGATTACTCTCTTGTAAGAAATTACCATGATGTAAAAAAGGTGTGTGCTTTAAACCACACACTAGAAGTGAATTCATCAACAAGGCCAGATGAATAGAACGAAATATAAATTATAAATAATAGCTATTGTTTCCTTTTCGCCTCTATAACACGACATCGCGTTAAGATATAATTTTTAATAATAGCCCATTACAGAGAATGAAATGCTGAACAATTCCCTCGCTCACAATATGCAGGTCCGATTTTTAATTTCTGAAATATTTTAATCCATATGGAAAAACATTTCAATTAGCCGACTCCAGCCAACTTTTTCCAAGCGTTACATATCGGAAATCTGACTGCTCAATCTAATTCACTCTCCACAAAAAGTGCAAAACGCTCCTTAAGACGTTTTTTTTTTTTTTTTCTAAAAGATGTAGGTGGAGAGAAGAGGAAGAAGTCTCTCAGGTATTTGGGGGTCCAAATCTTAAATCAAGCACTAAAAAATTTCTCTTCAATTTTCAAAATTTGTGGCAAAGGTTATAATTTTGCAATATTTATTTATTTTTATTAATTAAAAAGTATTTTCGTTTAATTATAGCGAAATAAGTCCCACGTATTTTATAAATTAATAAATAAATAATGTGACTTGTTGGGCAAATAGAGAGGAGAACAAAAAAGTTTCCCACCTCACTCATTTCCGAACAGTCGTTCGACGCACGGGCGGGGATCTACGGAGTCTTAAGGGGACCCTACACGGTAATTCATGAATGAACGTCACAAGAAGTGCCAAGATTGCCCGCTATCGCTTTGATCATGAAGACCCTTACACGTTCAATCATTACTGATCATTACTTATGTGAAGTTTCCACTTTTTTTTCTCTCCAATTTATTGTCTACTTGACTTTTTAAAGAAAAAATAGTTGCAAATGGTTAATAATAACATAGACTACGGATATAAACAACTATTTACTTTTATGAAATTATTTACTTAATAACGAGACTTAGGTAAACTAACCTATCTAGTAGTAAGGTTAGTCTCATAGAAAATCGTTTTGACAAAAGTTAGTAAAATATAAGTCTACTACTTACAAAAATTAAGGAAAGGTATTGCGAAAATAATAAATTTGTTGAGGTAAATGGGAAAAGAACTGATAAATATACACAACGTTAAAGTTTTTTTTTTCCTAAAGTAAATTGTGAAGTTTCCTCATTTTTTTTTTAAAAAGAAATAGTTGACTATTTAAAAGAAATAGTTGAAGATGGTTTAAAATTATAAACAAGGGATATGAAAAATTATTTAACTATTTACATATAATGAAAATCAGAAATTTATAATGGTTGTGAGGCCTAGGTAACCTAACCTATCACTTCTCTTGAATGAACCTTTGATTTCCGCATGTTCGGAAATCCGCAGCGCACCACCATCAGTACTTCATTCACTACCTTACACGACAATTCGGAACGTCATTAGTGCAATTCCGATTGACCGTGTAGGGTCCCCTTTAGGGCTGTAGCTCCCCTCCAAAATGTTAAAACATAATCATGTTTTATGGAAAAATTATCTCTTAAAGTATTATTGTTTGTGTAATTAAATTTAAAATAAATTTAGGAATTACTTAAACATCATTTCATATAGATATAGAGTAAGTCAGTTTCTTTCTTTTTTAAGGTAATTATCGGTATTTTTATGAAAAAAATGCTTTCGGGCTGAAGCCCCCCAAAATTAAATCCTGAATCCGCAAGTG